TAATCAAATAAATATAATTTCATGGCTACAGTGTCAGTGCTTTAAAAACTTGTTTGTAAAAGAGCAAAGGGAAAAAAAAGCCTACTAGAAAGCTCAGAAGTTTTGCAAATGACCCAGAGTTAATTAGAAAAGTCTGCACCCTGGCTAGTTCCCCTTCTCACGTGTCAGCTCTCATTAAATCAAAAAATTCTCCTTTCAAAGTTAACAAACACCATGGTTAACAAAACTGTTAAACTGGGATCAAGTGGGCACATTCCTAGGTTTATATATGATGTCATGCTAAGCAGCCCACAGCTGAACTTGCAAGTAGTATGAATGATTTTTCAATATATTAAGTATCTGATCTAATGCTAATTTTCTCTCTATAGGCTAACTGTGCTGGGAACAGGTGGCCCTGCTTTCAATTACGGAGGGCTAACATGCCAGTGTGAGGCCTGGATTAGTTCACCTTCTCACAGGGAATTTGCCTCGGTTGGGAATGGATTTATTATGGCTTCACACATGGAACGGAGCTCATGTCAGCTGAGGGCAGTGATACATCATATGATTCAAATTAACCTGCTGTGGGGACTGTTCCGCAGGGCTGATATTGTGTATTAAAATGACGACATTTTTAAAACAGCTTGAAAGAAACCAGGATTGCTGAAGTGCAATGGTTCCAATTTGTTCCAACTAATCTATCACCTGCTGGAGATATTATTCTAGTGGGTTTCTGGTAGCTGCTATTTTCCAGGTTTCTCCAAACCACTGACCTTGGTAATGGATACAATTGTTGCCTCTGCAAACAATGGGGAAAAAAGGCTGGAGAGAGTGCCAGGGTACAGTTCTGATTATTGTTTTTTATACCTAAGCCTAGATCCTCTTGCTGTGCCCCTCATGGTCCCCAAACCATGTGTGGAGAGACTGGCATGAAAGAGAAACCCACCAGGTCCCCAGCTCTCACTTTATCTTTCACTGGGACACAACATTTCTTAGTTTATTTGGATATTGCCTTCTGCAGAAATTATTTATAAAGGTGAATTATCAAGGATCTTCATTACTTCACATCTAACCCAGTGCCTTCCCAAGTAGCTACTGCGGAAAGAGGACTTCAGTATAAAGCATCCATAATTTGCATGTATAAGTACTTTAAGGCTATATGTATGAAGCTGTACTTCATAAACTCGTTCTTGTATCATTTGCATCCAGAAAGACTACATCAAAGACAGCTTTTATATGTAAGAAAGATGATTAAAAAATTCCAGAAGGACTAGAAGGTAAAGACGGTAATTTTTCAAAATCTATTAAAACAAGATGGTCACATTTGTTCTTCACATAATGAATTATATCTAATGCTGAAGCAATAAATAGCACTTCTATGTATTAGACTAAAATTGGATGTACAATCCAGTAGCAGACTGAATATAAAAGATAGAGGGTCATGTAAAGTGAAGTAAATGGAATTAAAAAAATTTTAAATAATTAGTTTCTGTAAAAAGAGAAATAATAGTCCTTTAATACATTGTGGGGTTAAAGTTGAGGTCTGTTCCCACAGGCCTGATGATGAATGCTTATTTCTCCTAGGATCCTATTACCTTAAATCTGGAAGAAATATAGTTTTTCTTTAGTTGCCAAAAATGTACAAAATAATCAATGCATGTGGCAAGAAGTGCATTAATGTATCCTGTTATTCTCATTTAATTAGTGGTTTCCAAGTTTAGCTACTTGCTGTAGTTTTTTGATCTCCGAGCTAATATAGACTGACAACCTGGTTTCCTGTGTGGTGAAACCATACGATTTTTCTGTGGAACACCATCTACTTATCTACTTCAGCTGACAAAAGATTTGTCTATTTGTAAAGAGTACTGGTTTTATCTGACACAGCAAACATTGGGAACCACTTTCAGATTTTTTTCTGTTAACTGCTCGATAGTATTTTGCATTATAAAATACAGGCATGTTTGATTCTTATACCTGAAATTTAACCTTAGCACACCAACAATGTTTTTTGAAAGAAAAATGGCATTACAATTAAACCACTGAACTCCAAACACTTAAAATTGACACAGAAAACTGTATCATTGTCCCAACTGCTACATATTTTTGTCTGCATAGGCACAGCTTTCAAAAATGAGCTGACTTTTCAGAACAGTTGATCATCTATAACCAACAGGCAGCACCTACCAATGCATTCAATACATTTCAGCAGTTTACTTACCACGGTTATAAACCATATATACATAAATGACTATGAAACACACACTATGTCATTAGAAAATAGGTCACTTAGTAGCAGCATTCTTTGCCAGATATTCACCAAAAAAGAATAGCTTTCAAGGCTTGCAACATAACTCTAGATCAGCAGTGCCTTTATTTATTCAATTTATTAGCTAAGCTGTCTCCCATCAAACATACTGTTTGGTGACCTTGCAAGAGCTCTTAGGAGTTTTGCTGAGGTTCTTGTCCTCAAAGAACAACTGCCAGCTGAGCTAGGATATGGTGGTGTAACACTTTCTCCAGGCCTGCTGATGGCCAAGCTACCTCACCCCGCAAGAAGCTGTGGTTAGGGGACTGCTTGTCCCGCAGGGGAGTTAGTAACTCATTTTCCAGTAGCCTGCTGAGGAGCTGTCAGGCTCTTGTAACTCTTTGCATGTGCTGTTCTGACGCAATCACAAGCAGAATGAGCCTTCCATTACTCATCCAATGAACCTTCCATCCCCCAAGGAAGGCTTCTTGGTAAAGGTTAGTTTATTTGAAGAGGATTTCATAGTGGTAACAGCTGAGGTTAGAGAAATCTACAAGGGACAGTGGAGCTGTTTTGTTATACTACACTGGCAAACACTTCATTAAAGTTCAGAGAAATTACCATTGAGTCATGTGTAATGATAGTTCCAATTAGCAGCAGAAAGATGATGAAAAAAAGAAAAAAATTCTTTGGCTAAGAATAGATCTTGGAAGAAATCACTGAAGTTTTAAATGTTTTGCAAGAATAAATAGATTGAAGATTAAGATGTATTAATTTATGGTTTTCCAGTTCCCTATTCAGCAAAACACTAGGGAGGGGAGAGACATAACACTAATGCAAGTTACAGTTGAATTGGTGAGATTGGGGTAGACACACTATTTGTGAATATACACCTTGCAAGCTGGTGCCAACTTCCATGTTTGCTAGTTTAGCTAGGAATCTGTCCTGCTGACAGGACAGCATCAGAGAAACACCCTCAGGTGTATAATAAATTAAAAATAAAGGCTGTGCCAGGAAACTACAGTGAGAACCTTAAGAAAAGTGGAATACACAAGTGAAGGGTCTGGGAATATGGAAATCTGACAAATGTGGAGACAGAGGACATATGAACTGGAGGCAAAAAGATAAAACCATTCTGGCAGCACTGACCCCTGACAGAAGGTATCTTAACCCCTCTTGTGCTGTCCCTGATTAGAATGAAAAGCCATCATTACTATCAATTAACCATTTTTTTTCCTTAAATGGCAGCAGAACATGCAGTAGGCCTGAAGATGCAAAGGCCTATTAAGGTACCCAGATATGGATCCATGTAACAAAAGCTCTGCATTGTCAAGTGGTTTTAGAAGTCTTCCCCAAAATGATGTCTTTAGATAGCATGGAAAATGAGAAAAAAGAGGCAATGATGAGGTTGTTCACACACTTTATTGTTTCCTTGAAACTTCTGCCTGTGCACAAAAAAAAAAATTTCAAGCTACTTAACCACAGTATTTATAATCAGGGGTCAAATATATGTGTCTCATTCACCAGTTACTCAGTTTGATGTCTTGGGCTCTGATATTCAGAACTGATCACTGCTTTACCAAAAGACAATATGAGCTGTGTTTCCAACACCAAATTCTTTATTTTCAAGTACTTTGGAAAACTAAATTGTGTGCTTTAAATTGATAACCTTAATAAAATGAGAAAACATTTAATGTCTCTGTGCCTCAGCTGTCTTCTGTGAAATGGCAAGGGCATCATCCATGTGAGGGTTGTGCAGGTAAATTAGTATCACTGTAGTGCTCAGATGTTACAGCTGTAAGGCATGCAAAGGTAATTCTTCTGCAAATCCAGGATTAGATACTGTGCTGTAAAACTCTATGCACAGGTAACTGAATGAACAGGAAAACCGAGTACTGAAGAACATCTCACTGAATGACTGGTAACAGCTCACTCTGCTGTGTGAAGTAAGGATATTCAGGATAAAAAATAAGTCAAATAATTCAAAAAACTATAACAAATATGCGTATGAGAAAATAGTTGCTATGTATTTTGTAAGTTTCACTATAACCTCAATTATTCTACATTGTAATGTAGCTATAAATACATCACAAAATAGAGAATGTAATTTGCAGGAATTTCTGATGCTCTAGGAGTGGAACTTCAAGTCACATTATGTTACATAAATGCTAACAAACCTCTACACTACACCACTTACATTAATTAAAGAAACAGAATATCATTAATTTTAAAATTTTACAGTGTCAGCACTTTGGGTGATTGGAATTTCCAGTGCCAGGTATCCAGATTTCAAAGAACCTAAGAGAAGATGGCTTAGCAAAGTCTTCAGAAACACTATAAAAGTCATATTTTCTAAACACAACTGCAATAACATTTTGGTTTTCTAGAACTAGAGGCAGGTAGGCTTCATTCTGCTGGAAATTTAACAAATTCAGCCCTTCTAAACATACTGTGGGAAGAAAATTAATAATTAGACCTTAAACCATTGACTGGTCCAGGACTGCCCATTCCCCAGTTTTCATTTTCATTCAGGATAATTGCTGGAGGAAAATTTCACATTCATGAAAAAGGAATACAATACATTTCTGATTATCTGATATCACTGAGTCACAGAATAATTAGGGTTGAAAGGGACCTTAATCTCCTTCAAACTCCCCTGCCATGGGAAGAGACACCTTGCACTAGATCAGGTTGCTCAGGGCTCCATCCTGTGTCTATGTGTGGATATTTAAAAACAGGTTACTTTAGAAAAGAAAGAATAAACTGCAGCACTTACCTGGTCCATTAAGGAAGTCTTTAATTTGCACAGTGGTAAGAGGAGGTGGAATCCCACTTTTAGCATCTACCTCTCCTGCTACTGTCTGCAACCAAATCTTGCAATAATCCAGAGCTTCTGGTAATGTCTTCCCAGGATCTACAGATGATAATCATCACAGTCATTAATTATATTCCAGGAATATGATAAATTACAAAATGCTACGTACAAAATGGACTGGACAAAATTAAAAAGTTTTAAATGTAATATGGTAAATATTATACCTAATATAACTGGTTTACATAGCACTTGCACCTATAGACAGATGCACATGTGGAATAATGCACGCACTCATGGGCAAGAGGACAAAACTCTAATTACAAAAAATACAGAAAACACAAAAATACCATGTAAAATATGAGTAAAATACATCAATAAAACAAGATGACAGGAAATAGCACATAATTTCAGCTTTAATTAATGATTACGTAATGACACTTAAGGATTCCTTACAAGAGAGTTTGTGCTCAAAACCTGCTACTAGATTTTACTGTCATTGCTTGGTAGAGAAAATGGAAATAATGGAAAGGTAAATTACAAAGGCAAAAAACTCAGAATGCTATGAGAGCTCAGAACAGAGCATGACAACAGTGCAGTTTTATCATTCCCTTTAGTGCTTCATTCAATCGTTAATCAGTAGCTATTCTTGGGTACCACCTTGAATGGTGTTCCTTTGATCAGTCTGTAATACTATGAAAGTACATTAAGATTAAATCCATCCAAGGGCTATTCTTGTCTTCATTTTCCACGTATCACACATAGCAAAAACAGTTGCGTAAAAAGGCTTTTTAATCTTTAGGGACTCATGACCTTCATTATAAACATTCTCAATTCTGGCATTATGGTCTTAAATTAAAAATAATCACTCATTGTTTATTATTGAGTCTCCTAGGTTGATCATTGAATGTCTGTCTCATCCTCAACTTAAGGAGATTTTCTTGAAGCTATTCTCTCCTTTTCAGTCAATTAAAAACTTCTATAATTGCTTTGAGTTTTACTGAATTAATTCCTTTCAGGAACAGGATTTACATACTCACTGTTACAGTGAACATATGGTATTGTGGTATCACAGTCATATGTGGACTGGGTATATAAAGTCAGCTTTGGAATTTGTGTTTCTTGACCTTATCATGTGATTCATATAAAACTTGGCACATATGAACCCTTATGTGATTTCAAAGAACCTACTGAAACCAATTGATCATGACTTTAGATCTATATGGAAAAGATCAAAAGTTAGCACATTCTTTTGTTTTTATTTGATCAATTTTCAGGCAATGACTTTACAGCAGTATTTGTACTGTATGGCATATACATTACAGCCTTTTCTTCCCTCTATTCCTGCCACACATTTATAAAGTCAGCTCTCAACAGTTATTTAAGAGCTGTCACTGCATACAACAGCTTTGTATATTTTCCATGAGAATTTCTACATTTTTATGATTCTTAACCCTTTTCTTTTAATTACAATAACCAGAGTGGTGTGGCATATTCCTGTTTCTATAGGGGAATTCTGTTTTAGGGAATATCTTGTGCCCAGCATTTTTCTAGTATACTGAAACTACTACTACTACTACTGGGTGTTATCTCTGACTTTGATCTATAAAATAATACCTTATTTTGTGCTGGTAGATCATTGTAAGCAGCTAACATTCTAATGTTTTTCAGAACATATAGTGTAAAGCATTGTAAAAATGACTGAATATTGCTCAATGAACATCAGTGAATTGATTAAATTCATGTCTAAATTACTGTTCCTCTGTAAGTATTAATATAAACATTTAGGTGTACCTGTATGGCACAAAACATTGCAATGTGCCATAATTTTGTCTCATTTCTGGAAGATATCACATACTGTATATATAGCAACCTATATCTTGCACCAGCTTTTCAGAAAATCCACTACATTTAGCTGAATGCTTGTTTTGTAAAATACAATTACAGGTAGTCTTATTATCCTAAGATGTGCTTATGTTATTAAATACCTAATAATTATTTCAAAGTTGTAGCTCTTTCAAGCTGAAAGTATCTCCGATGAAAAGAGCTTACATAGCAGAAAATCCCTGCATGACATATTTCATTAACTACACAAACTGCCCTCAGGCCACTGGGAACTGCAGCACTTAAGCACGGAACCAAAAAATAAAGCAACCATGGGACTTTCAGGAGGTTGTTTTGCTCTGTCATGTCTTCATCATATGGGGCATTGCAGGACTGGGATATGTAAATAATAAGGTCTCCAAAATTTACATATTAGGAACACAGCATGAAGAAACCTCAATGCACAAAATTAGCGCAAGTCCAACAAAATGTATTACTTTTAACCCAGCACTGTTCTTACTGAGTTCAAGCGTTCCTTAAGTTCAAGTAAAATGGAGGTAATTTTGGAAGCAGGAGTATTGCATTGACAATTTTGCATCAGAGGTGATAATATCAAAGCACATGCAAAGAGCCAGCCCGAGTACTTCCAAGCCCGTGGCATAGAGTTAATTTGGAACCTGGGTAACAGTCTTGGCTGTCCAGCCAAAAATGCCAGGTTTTTTTTATGTAATGATAAAAAAGCTAAAATCCAGAGGTTTTGAAATTGACTATGCTTGTGTACATCAAAAACTTGGGGGGAGCTGCAAATAGAATGTATGAGGGTAAGACAAATATATATCTCAAGGGTCAAACAACCAAAAGATGTGTCCCTATTAAAATATCTTCTAAGGTAGAAAACAGCACATGCATTTTCATGGGATAAAGAATCAGGAAAGGAATAAATTAATTATCAGTCAACCAATCCTTATGTCAAAAGTACAGGAAACAGAAAAGCAATTGAATGAAAAAAAAAGAATTTTAGAATGAAAAGTGAGGAATTCATGATGAAAAGAGCTATTAGAAAAAGGACTCTTGTCTCTCAAGGAAATGATGGAGGCATTCAGAATGTTTAAAAATACACTTGACAGAACACTATAAAATATACAATTGGGAACAATTATGCATCAGCAGGGAACTGGTTCTGAATAATGTATTATAATAGGTCATTTCCATTTCCATTTTCTATGATTCTCCCAAAAATCAACACTTAAATTTGCAGTTATTTGTGTAAAGAAAATGCTGGAGAAAACCCAGGGGATGCATATATAAGTAAAAGGAGAGGCTAGAATTACTCCACAGCAAGCCAAGACAGGGAAAAGAAAGGATTGAGAGGCAAGGAACAGTGAAGATGGCCAGAAATTTTATCCTCTACACCATGTGAAAAATTTGTCTGTGGTAGCAAAAGAAAAATGGTGAGACAACTATCACAGATTGAAAAGACTATAAATTACAAGTCTGTAATTTAAAATCTGTCAGCCTCAGAAGGGAAAGCCTTCAACAGATCCACATTTACCTTCTTCCCTCCCCTCAAAAATAAAAATTTAAATTAAAAAGAGAAAATCTGGCTATTTTTTAATTCACCCGAACACCCAAAGCCACTTTTAGCCTTGCTGAGATCCAGACCTCAGCTCCAAGATTCACTTTATAAAATATCTTCCTAAACTTGGTTTGAATTTGCAAGCTTTTGATTTCACTGCTATCCCCTTGGTCTTCTGTTAACAGCAGACAGCATATTCCACACTTCTGAGAAGAACAGGGAGTAAGGGGAAAAGAAATGAGAAAGGCAGGGGCAATTTCGTATCTTGAAGATTTTAATTCTCCAAAATGTGTCTTTGTTCCTATTGGTAGCTGACAGCCAGGCCAGCTAAGGGGGCATAGCCTGTGGGAGGCTTTAAGGGGGGAGCTCAGGGACGCAGAGCCCCATCAGCCCCAGGCAGGGGACAGGGCTACCGAGCGCGTGTGTGGGACAGCAGCTTGGCCTGCTCCGCTGGAACACTACCCAGCCCAAACCAGCACTGCAATCTGCTTTTATTTCAATGGATGAATCATATTTTGGTCTGCAGTCAATTTTAAAAGCCAGTATGATGCTGCAATCATCTCCGCATTTGAAACTCTGAAGTGGAATGTTTGGTCTTGTGTTCTTTAAAGTCCAGTGGAAACCGTTTTGAAAACAAGTAGAAAAACATTTCTGCTAGCGTACTCACAAGTGCTGTGTCAGGAAGCTTAAAAATGAGCACTAAAGTAACCTGAGGAATGCACATTCCCAGGCCAATTTGGCTTTATGGGTGGGGGCTGCACTGCTCCCCCCTCATCCATGACTGCAGATGTATTGGACAATAAATATACCCAGAGGGGAACAGGTGACACTCCAGCAGAACTCCCTCAATGCCATGTGAGGAAACAGCTTTAAATCCTCTCTCTGCCATGGAGGAAGCACAGGCTGACAGAGAGGCAGTGAATCAGGCTTCCCGCCAGAGCCAGCCTGTGCTGCTTTTCATGCAAAAACCTGGAAAAGGCTTTCCATTAGATCAGAGGTTACATGTGGTCTTAGCTACTGCATCTGCTCTTCATGGACCCCCTGCCATCAAAGGCGTGGGTGTCAAATAAAATAAAATAAAATAAAAATCAAGAATAATTCTGGACGGCCTCACAATGACTGTTTCTTTGCAAATGAGTCGTTGGCGGAAGTTGAAGAAATTCCATGCATAACAGATATTTACTGAGAAATTTCTCTCCCTTGAAACAACCAAGCACCAAAACCTCCTCTTTGAAAGTAAACAAACAAACAAATAGAAAAAAGATTTTTCAAGAATGCCCAGAGCACAGTGGTCAGGAAATGAGGCAATTTTGTATCTGGATTACATTACCTGAAACAAAGCAAATAAAGATTTTAAAAAAATATTTATAAAAGCAGCTTATGAGATTACATTAGAAACAATTGCACCCACTTTTATTTAAGTAAAAATGGCCAAAACTCTGTTAGTAAAAACTAACAGTTAGCAGATGCCTTTTTGTTAAATATAGGATGAGCATTTAATACAAAAGGGTCATTTTACAGTATCTTTCAGTCTATTTTTACAGAATCTCACAAGTAAACACAAGGACCAACTAGTCTTTTTAGTGCCACTTACTAAGGAGTTAAAATTTATTCCATTAATTTATTTACTTTGATTTCAAATTCCTGTACCTTGCACTAGCAATAATTATAATCAAGCTGCGCAACTACAAAACACAAATGAAGAAGTTTAGCACAAGCATAATAAAACTGAGCTTACATTTCAAGAACCTAGTAAGTCTCCTGCTTCTACAAACTGACTTGCCAGTGGACTTGGTTGTAGAGGAGACTGAGGAAGCACAACCATTGATCTTTAGCTGCCAGGCAGGGAAATGCCTCCACATACAGAGACTGGTCTGATGGAAATGTGCTGCTACTGACTGCTAATTAATAAACAGATTACAGAACTTTTAAATAGCCTATTTCCTCCTATATAATTCTTAAGTTCTTATTTCTTTAATGTTTCAGAAATTAAGCTAAAAATGAATAACACAGCTAGTGTCAATGAAGCCAAGTTCTTTGGATGAAATTTGGTGTTTCAGCCACTGTACAATGCTGTCTCACAAAGGGAGTGATAGTTTAATGTGCAAGATTGTGAATTTTATGCTCTATTCAAAACTAATAGCAAAGCCCTTGTCCCAAATAAAATACATATGGCTTCATAACAGTAAAAATCTTCATTTCTACACAATGTTCAAAGCAGTAAACCATCATGAAGCAGTAACCCTTAATTCTGTCACCAGCCTGGGACTAACTATTATTCTCTTTAAAATTCATGTTGGTACAATTTAAAGGATAATTTCCCTGTTTTATACAAAGGTTCATAAAATAGACTGTCATCAAATTACCTATTAGAAGCATTTCTAAAGTCTAGAAAATCTTTGTTGACTTACAGCTAAACAACATATTTTTTAGAAGTACACTACTAGGAGGTGAGGGATGAAAAGCACAACTAGATCCAGACTATCACCAGGTTTTCTTTACTCTAAAGATTTTTGAGAAATTTATATCAACCAGAAAAAAAAACCTTCCTAATTTTTCAACACAATTCTGTGTTTGCTTCTGCTTTGCAGAAATTTGAGGGTTGTTTCAGAACTGTAGTTTTTTTTTCTTTTATAAAAGCTGTAAGAAATAGCACAGTATTTCACAAGACCCAAATCTATGACTGTTGAACGAACAGTATTCAAGTCTTCAAAATTTCACGCCAAAATTGATAGAAACAATTTTTCCAAATGTTTTAAACCATTCCTAAAATACTCTTATGCAGTGTACATGCTGTAGAATGCACAGAATACATAGAATGATTTTAAATGGGGGAGATTTTATTAGCATATTTTGAATGTAATGTAAATATTTCATATATAGCTTAACTACAAATTTTAACCATATTAGTTTAAGAAATGAGGAAACACCCCTATAGGATTACCAACAAAACTTTATAACAATGTAATTTTACTTTTGCACAGACAAGTCTCAATTTTTAGGCTGTGATCAAAATTTGCAATGTTATAGGCCTGAATTTTTTAGCTGCTGCTGTGCTGTTGCCGATCTTCATCACAGTATTTTCATTAGGTCTATGATTTGGTTGTTAGTTTTTTTAGGTTTTTGGTTTTTTTTTCCAAGGGGATACTCTGTCAGTTCTTATAATCCAGTTAAAATATATCTTTTAAGTTTAGATTATGTTCTCTTCCCCATTCTGTGTTAGATTATAGAGTTAGTTGCATGTGTATGTAGACGAGCAGTCCTCTAGAGAGGCTACCTGGAAATATGGTTTAGCAACTTTCACTGGAATTTAAACATCATTTTTGTCTTTTTCCCACTCTCCAGTCCTTGATACACAGAGAAATATAGGAATATAGTGCATGTGTATGCACTCTCAGAAGGAAACTAACTTAGGTCTTTTAAATAAACTTTGTATTGTTCTTCATATTGATGATACATCTCTTTCAGACAAAACTGTCAGCAAATAGTCACAGTATCAAGAAAAGCTGGTGTTGGTTGATTGATGAAATCAACCACAGCAGCACAAAAAAAGCCACAAAGAGCTTCTTGTTCTGTATTATATGATATGCAATATATAGAATGTGTGTAATAGGTACACACATACACACACACACATATATGAAACACACATAGTTCACAGCTATTTTCCATCTAATACATGTTAGAAATGAAAAAAATAGAAATTTCCAAACTAACATGTTACTATAGTGGTATGACAACATTAATCCCAAATGATGCAATTAGCAGCACAGCAGGTGTTCCTGAACAAGAGGCAATAAAAACTTTATACTAGCTCTTTTGCTGAGTGAATTAGTATGTAACTTGAAGTGTGTCCTAATTTTATTAACACATTTAGGATGGCATTTTTAGGTACTAGCACTTTGGCATCCACCTCTCAAACTCTTTTGAAAAGGGCACCACTGCTTTAGCAGCGAGCACAGGATTCTGTGTGATACACGAGGAAGGTACTGATCTACTGCCCACAAAGGCTGCAGGATGAGACCAGGACTTCTACATTCATATAATGTCTGAGTCCTACCTGGAGGTAATACTCTTTTACATTTGCCCAACATGGAGAAATAAAGAAAAGGGTAAGAGCTGTGTCTGGCTAATCTTTGGTCTTCCAGTTGAGCAACCTATGGTGATTGAGGAGTTCTTGGGCTGTATGTTCCTACCATATTATTTAGACTTCTCGCCATGCCTCTGTGCCCTCTGATGCACTTCCAATTTGTAAGAAGACTTTATTACAGCTTGTGTTTTGTAGATTTGCTGTGATAAACATGAAGATGGTGAAATACTTCAGGAATCATTTGTAGAAGCAGAATGGACAGAACTTTGCCCAGTTCATTGGTGGTGGCAGCTTGTACTAAGGACACGCTCAAATGCCTCAGACATGAGAAATGAAGAAGTCCTGCTGCATTCCAAAAGCAGTAACTTACTGAAGATGTGATCTCAGACCTACTCCAAGCTTTCTTCAAGCTTTGCTTCGTGAATTCTCTTCACATTAATTGCTGCAATGACCACATTTCATGTAGTGTTTAAGAAATACACATGAGAATTTGGAGTAAATCAAATTCATGACACAGATGTGTTTTGTTCAAGGCAGAACAGAACAAGAACAGCAAAGGAAGATGAAAACAGAAGGATTAATAAAATGTAGCAGAGAACAAATCTCCCTGTTTTAAGTATCTTCTCTTCCACTGCCTAATCTTTCTCACTGTTTAATCCCTCTTAAAAGTTCCACTACAATTCAGATTTCTAAGAACGGTTTTAATTGCATTTTTAGTCTTTTTCATAAGCACATTATTTTAGTGCTACTTTTCAAAAGATACAATCTCATTCAGCAAAGATTTGGTTAAGTGGCACAGAAAAGTACACTACTTTTCACAACTGCTGTGCAGGAAATACTGCCAAGGAAAACCAGCAGTACCTACAGCTCTCATTCAGAAAACAATCTGATGTCCCATATCATTCTGTATGTTCACCTGGAGCCCTGCATAATCATTTACACTTTTTGAGGTAACACTCCATAATGATTCATCTCATGAAATCATTATACCCTTACTGACTGCTAGACAAATGAATTGCAATCATTTGATTTCTGTCTTCAACAGTACAGATAAGGCAGAAAAATAGTATTTTCTACTGAACAGCTATTTTGACATCTCTAATTATAAACTTCACATATGGAATTTAAAAAAAAAAAAAAAGCATTTTTAAGAGATAGAATTTGCTGCAAAACCCTATTGCTCAATTGAATAAAAACTAAAAATACATGACATCACTAGATGGTGTTTGAAAGATCACATTATTTTTTTACAGCTTATGTCCAAAACACCAGGTTCTTCTACAGTGTTTATCTTTACATTTTACTGGTAGGCTAGTATATGAAAATATTGTGACATTCAGTCATAAAAGATGCTCTTTATGAAATTACCTTGGCTTACAACTTATACTTTCTTAGAAAACTTTGAGAAGTTACAGCAATGCAGCAATCTCTGTCACAATTTGGTAATGAGAAAGCAATACTAAGAAACAGGAAGAACTGGTTGCTAGAAGGTTAGATCTTAATTAATTTCAAACATTTTACACACTTAACTTGATTCAGCTGTGAGGTATAATCCTAAAAATATGTATATTTAGAGACTGATATTTAAAGATGTCCTCAAGTTCTCTCAGGAGAACTTTCCACCACCCGCTGTAACTCTGAGCTGTGCAATCATTTTCACAGTTATGACCAGGATTGGATGTTAAATGCTCTTACCTGTACACTTGTAGTCTGAGGCAACTCCTTTAAGGCCAGCATCAAACACTGATATTTCTACTTTTTGCTTTCTGTGGTGGCAGCTGAGCAGCACAGAGGGCTGTGACACAACCAGGTAGAGAAACGGCTGTAGCTCGATGTCCCCAGTTCCCCTGCGCCCAGGCTGCCGTACAATAGTTATGCCCAGGGCTTGTCGAGCAGATGATCTCGTGGAAGCGTGCAGACTTTCCAGGGACAAAAGACCTGTCTTTCTCCCAGCAGACAGGGGAGGGTTGCTGTTCAAAAGATCGTCTGCTGTGACAGAAGAGATGCATGGCTGACTGGGCTTCTTGAGATCATGGCTGCTGCCTGAGACTGTTTCTGGAAGGTTCAAGGAGCTTTTACTTATCTTCTCACCATCTTTCTGATCTTGCACTGATTTTGCCTTAGGTGAGGCAGTGCATGAGTACGTCATCAATGAGATTCGACTTGATGTAACAAAAATGTCAAAGGGGATGAAGTTGAGATTCTTCACGATGGAAGACTGGCGGGAAGGACGGGCAATGCGGTGCTGGCTGGTGCCACTGTGCTGCTCGATCTGAATGATTCTGATCTTAACACTGTCGCTGCCAATTCCACTGTCCTGTGCCCCGCTGTAACGGGAAGAAGTCTCGACTGTTCCTCCATCAGCCACATCCATCTTCTTCTGTTCTTGCTTGGAAACCTGCAAAGGAAAATGTTATGTTAACTTCTGATATCCATACCCCAACTATTTCCATTTCAGTCACAGCAAAAAATCACTACATAAACATGACGTCAAAAAAGAGAATTCTAAAAAAAATATGCCAAGTTAACTTTAACACAGTAATAATTCATAAAAACACAGCAGGTGTCTGTTCCAATGAAATGATGACTCACAATAGCTGAAGAGCCAAAAAAAGATGTGAAAGAGGAAAAAAAAAAAGCAAGCAGTAAGGATTTCTAGGCTTAGAAAGCATTTAAAAAAATTAAACCCTTCATTAAAAAAAACTCTAAAGAATTTTTAAGAAATTTATGCATTAATATAAACCCATATCTGTGAAATAATATATTGCAAATTAAAGCCTAATTAGGATTGTTTTCCAATTTTGAGCACTGATGCTCTAAAAGTCACCTTTGTCACTAAAATTTTTTACTGTGATTAGATAAAATAGAACATAATATTAATCCACTATGCAACCATAAAAAGACTAAATGGAAATTATAAAATGAAATGTATAAAAAATATGTTATAGAAAAAAAGATTTTTTAAGAGTTATGGAAGGCAGCTACCTTATGTAAAAAACCAATGTTAAACACTGATGTTAAAGGAGACATCAGAACTCCAATGTTAAACACTGATGTTAAAGGAGACATCAGAACTGACTGATGGGTATGAAAGGTGATGGGTATGAGTTCTTAGCTTACCGAGGCCACATAGGGTATTGGCTGTGACATTCACAGGGTTCCACATGAGAAATCATTGCATATAGAAATATTTCAAAAAGAAAACATACACTACTGACAAACAAAGAGTGCAAGAATGAAATAAAAAGTTGCAAGGCTGTAAATTCAATAATAATTGATGTATGACTAATTTCTCAGATTCATATGAAGGTTAGAGTCATACATTCTCCCTGCACAGCTTCCACAGCATAACTAACACTTCCATCTGTGCTGCTGCAGTGGAGCTTCTGCTCTGCTCGGTACAGGAGCTAACATAAGAAATGCTCAACTCGGTCGGATTCATAACCCATCTATCCCAGTACACTGTTTTTGATAGCACCAGGAGGAAACTGTTAAGAAATACCAGAAACTCTGTCCACTTCCTGCAATCTCCTCCTCCCCAGGCATCCACAGCTGCTGCATGTAGGATGCCATGGGTCATGTTTGTGTGGTCATTTTGGAAACCATTTCTGGGCTTCTTGTCCATGAATTCATCATTCCTTTCTGAACACATTGACAGCGTCTGTTCTCAACCTTCGGTGGCAACAAGATCCAATTTTTTTAAAAAAAATACCACTTGAAACCATCTCCTCCTAGTGACATTGCTTTCTCCCAGTCTTTTGTAGCATACAAATTGTTCAGGTCCACATTCAGCTTTATTAGTATTGTTAAGACTTTGTAAATTATGATCACAGCCCCCCTCAGCCTTCTCCACTTCAGACATGGAAATCCTGGCCTTTCCAGTCTCTCCTCACAAAGAAGGCACTCCAGCACTTTCAATCTTTTTAGCCTCCTTTGTCTACTTCTGTAACTCCACTATGGCCTTCCTGAGTATTCTACAAAGCACCCAAGAAGTGGAACCCTACAGTTCTCTATACAGTCTTGTTCTCCATCCCCATCCAGATGTCCAGTATTTTACAGGAGTTTTTTTGGCTGACACTGCACATTGACTCAATGATTTAATTTCTTCATTGCAGGACATATTTCAATAATTTCTTCTCCATCCAAAGGAATCCTCAAAAAGTGAAATATGAACTTCTACCTTAACTTCCTCTTCAAAAGAGAATAATGAATTAAAAATAAATTATTTACCAGCAACTTAAGTATCAGAATGTAGGGCAGTGAATGACTCAATTTCTCCAGACTTCTATGGTCTTTATGCAGCAATATATTAGATTTTACATGTACTGCAGAAATTGGGTTATGATGGAGGTAAAGAAAAGCAGGCTTTTTAAACCTTCCTTTATATTGTGCTTTATGGAACAAAGGGAGCAATCCCTCTCCTTTTCTTTAAAGGAATGAATATACTAGAAAAAGTATTACAGAGGAAATCCTAAAACAGAACCATTAACTAGCTGAGATTTTCTTTGAAAAGGTTTTTTGCCAGCTCTGGTTACAATCTTTTCAGATTCACTCATGTACATATTTTTCAAATAACCAATAAAATTCTTTGCGGCTGTTTTCTATGGCAGACTCATATCACTGACTTGTAAATGTGATATCACTTTTTATGCTGCCTCTGTAAAAATAACTAGAGACCATTTTAATGAATCACTACTTTGTGAGCCAAGAAATCCTCATTCCTCCTGATATCCTAGCAAAGTTAGGCTATTTACACCTCAGCCTCTCTGCCTGGTAAACTATAAAGCGCTTCACCCACATCCTGTACTGATGGCACTTTCAAAATTGGTGCGGATGGTTTCGTTGCTCATGTATTGAGGGCAAGCAGAAAGAAAGAATGGAGCTGTGAAAAAATCTTGCCATATCATTTCATGGAAATGCTGCTTGTAATTAAGTTGAGGGCATATGCTGCTAAACCCAGCAAGTTTTAATTGCTACACAGACATCAGGTGAGTCTGATGAAAAATGTTTTCAGAAAGCATGATTCAGTGGTGAATCCTATGTGATATTCTCTTGTTGTCCTCTATGCAGCAGAAATTTCTGCAGCTACCTGACATTTAGGTTATCCATGACTTGGCCAGAGGAAATGAAAATACGGTGTCATCCACTAAGTGACAAACTTCCAGGGAGAAAAGCATCACATGTATATGACAAAATGGAGGAAGAAATCACAGTACTTCTGGTTTCTGAATGGATCCTCTCTTCTCACACCTGAACAAATTTGAGTTGAAGACTAGTTCTTTTCCTCTGCCTCCTTTTATCATTAAGTATTTATTAAATGCTCTGGTCCATGCAGAGCCCCTCTAGGAAGGTAAGAAAGGAGATCTGCCTCCATCCCCAGTCAGACTATAGGTTCTCTGTGCAGACTGCTGCAAGGGTGCTAATTGGTCCCAACTGCTGAGTTTCCTGTTATGAGGACATTCAACTACAGAAACTTTACTGAGACCCCAAATCAATTCATGCAGGTCACTGAACAGCACTCAGAAGGCAATTTCTGCTCAGTATTAAGCAGCATGGAATATGAACCAGTGCCCAAGAGGTGAAAGATACCATATCCTATTACAGTTTTCCATGCCACCCGGCTCCACAATGAAACTTTGACTTATGTATGGCCTTACCACATATATTACAAAGGTTGGAACACATGAATAATGATTTGCAAGACAGCTGTACATAACACAACTGGGTAAAAAATAAAAGTGCAGAAGTATCACTGGTACTTCTTGCATCGATTGCAACTCAGTAGAGCATCAAGCCTTCCAACAATGTTTCAAAGTTAACTTGAAGATATGCCTAGTAATAAATTTGGGAAGCATTTAGGTATTCCTCTAATGGGATAAGAAGATGAGAGGGAATGAGTCTCAGTACAACAGCTCCAAAAAGATTCCTTGCTGTATTATGGAATAAATGGGCCAATTCTTTAAGGATGTCAAGAACAGCAATATCATCTTGCTGTTAGCAAATGTAATGGTAACATTTATCATTGGGCTGTATAATATCAATTCTCTTACTCTTTACATAACCCATTTAAAATGAACAATAAAAGTTTTCTTTAATTAGCTACTGGTGTGCATTAACATGATCATGATTAAACCATAAAAACCAACCGTACATTACTCTGGTCCCCTATCCCACGTGTTTTAAATTATTTTAGTTGAAAATGTACTTTGAGTCCCTTTTAAAAGTTCGACCTTCTGCTTTCAGAGAATTAAATGCATATTACTATAGTGGAGAAGATAATGTTTCAGACCTCCAGGCATATATTAAACACACTGGCAGCACATTAGACAAAATGCTTTACTTATTAGATACTTCCTATTCTAAACAGTGTCATCAAAGGCTAAAAACAAAATCCATATAAAAGCTGCACAATGCTTCCACACAGAACCTGTGCCAAAATCCCTGTACTTTCCAGCTAATGAGGAAAGGATGTGTACTCTTAACATATGAATGTAAGATTTTCCAAGCATTCACTTTAGGAAACAGGACTATTGATTCCACATGGCTTATGTTAAATGAAACTGTATTGGTAAAATAACCTTTAAGATATTTGGCATGATAACTATAATTAAACAGTATTCAAAGGAATAAAACAAAAGGGAATTTGGTTCCACAATAGCTAATTAAAATAAAATGAAAAAACACAGCATGTCATCTATCAAGATAAATTGTTATTGTTCAAGAACTATTTAAATACTGTTAAAATATACTTTTAGATAAAATCTGAAAGGACTGGAAAAATATTTGTGGTTTAAAAATGGATAGTTTGGTGAAGAAAAAAGTATAGGACGCTGAAATTTTAAGCTGAGATAATAGCTTTAAAGCTTTGAGCATAACCAGATGGTACTTAAATCAGAGGTATTCTACAGTTTCATTGTCAGAACAAGTTGCAATATGGAAAGGTTTTCAATAGCTAGAAAAAACACATCAAGATGATAGTTTACTTCTTAGATCATTTCAGTGCATTTTCTTGTTCTTTCACAGTTATATACCCTATCAATACTACACACCATAGAAAAGGTGTTGAAAGCTACACTGGTAGCTGGGGAACTGTGGTTAATTTTTCCTTTTCATGTGTTGAGATAGGTAACTTGATTAGCTTAACCTCTAGAGTTCACTAGGGCATATGGCACATATATCTATCAAGAGAAAGGGCATGGAAATGGCATGTCCTGTAGAACACACACAGATAAGTACATCATAAAATCAAGGATCAATAAATAGATTTGCTTTTCAACATTGGCAAGTAATCTAAGGTCACTGCAATTTTAACCAGGTAAGTCTTATTTATTTTCCATTTCTGATCACAGTACTTAGATGGTCATGATATCTTCAAAGTTTTCACTCCATAAAGACCAG